CGGCCAAATCAGAAACACGCCTCAAGAGTTTAAAAAACCTACCTTATTGTGAACCGAAGAAGCGACGACCAGTAGTGTGGACTTGCCGAAGAGCCCGTAACAGTATATGGGTAATTCTTTTTGAAGGTAAACCGAAAATTTTCTGGTGTGATCCTAAAATTTATATAATATATGTATTGTTTAAAAGTTGGGTCCGAAAAAATCATATCTAGCATTTTTGTCACCTTCAAAAATAATTATCCATATAATTAATTAATCACAGAGAATGGATATTTTATTCTAGTCAATTATTTTCTAACTCAAATTTATTAGCTTGTAAGTGGAAAGTTTACTTCTTATTATAATCAAAGGATTTTCGTATTTATAATTAATCAGGGAGTGAATGTATTTTATTACAAAATAATTTTAATAACCAATATTACATTAATATTTAGCACATAATTTTAGAAGATAAGGATTTAAATTAATTTTTAACTAAATCTAATTAAACGATATATAACTATTAGTCGGTAATTACAGTATATAAATTCATCTAATAATACCCCCAAAATCCGATTGTATTCTTTTATTACTCTACTTACAAAGTTATATTTTGTAGAAAATACAACAAAATAGAGTTTAAAATTAATCAATGGGATGGTGTAATTTTGACTCATGGATTAATGAAAATTCGATGTATTTTATGAGATTCCTCAGGCTACAATTAGTAAAGTGAAATTTTTATTTACAGAAGTAATTGGGAATTTCAAGGAGACAGATTTATTAGATTTATTAAAAAAATTAATAATATTTTAGCTACGTTTAGAGGATTTGACAAAGAAGTGTTGTCCTTTTCATTTAACACTCTTTCATACTTTTCTGAGAATCACAGAGATCTCGTCAAAGGAAGTGTAAATGATCTTGAGCCACTAGGGAAAATTAATAATTTAGCTGATCCGTATTTAAGGATTATTGACGAATCCGTCGAAAGTTGCGAAGAATTTTCTAAGCGATTTAGTGAATTCCTTGAGTTTTTTAATAGCGGAATTATGGACATTGAAGAGTTACTTCAGAAAATTGAAAATAAAATGGATGAAACAATATATGAACGAATGTTAGAACAAAAGAAGATATCGATGAATGGAATCTGAAATCTAATGAATCTTTCATCTTACAAATTATAAGAAGGTAATTGAAAAAAATTTTTACATTATGTTATTATTTAAGCTATGATTAATTTTATTGTTTATATTATTTTTAATAAAGAAAGCATATGAAGGAACATTGATTTAGAAATATTAAATGACCATGGATATGAAAATTTGATTACGGACCGTCTGATAATTGAATTAAAAAGCATTATAAATATGAGATTAAAAATTCTAAAATTAAAAGAAATATCAGGTAAATTTAGCTGTTATTACTAAACTTTAAATTTATATAATAGACTTTTGGATACAAATTTCTAGTAATTTCAATTGAATAGGAAATTATGAAAGAAAATATAAATAATGGCGAATTACAGTATACAGTAGGCGTCATAAATATCCGGAATTTTTTATGGTAAGTAAAAAAAAGTTTTTTTTTTATTAATCATCATTGAAACTTCGTATATACATAGTCAAATATGATTACTAATTAAAAAAAATTCTTTTAATTATCTAGCTTCCTCCCTCTTGATCAATCACCTCTAAAACATGATTTTCCATACACATCACTAATGTAAGAAATAGGTCTTTATCTAATTTGTCCCACGCCTGATGGATAATTTGCTGAAAAATATTATTTGAAAGATTTTTTTTTTATTATACATAAGTTTGATTCCTTTTCGACCTTGCCCTTAAGTATTGCCCATAAATTCTCAATTGGATTTAGGTCAGAATTCAAATGCCTTGGTCTTCAAGGAGACAATGTGTTTTTTTTAAATTATAAACAAGAGAATTATCCTGTTTAAAATAAAACTTGCAGCAAGCTAACCTAGAAAATTGAGAAAAAAATGAGTTTCAAGAATTTCTTGATATTTAGTAGAATTAAAATTTTCTGTGAATAAAACTAGTGCGATCAGGCCTTGTGCTAAAAATGCACCCCAAACATGAACTTTGTAGGGATGTTTCACCATACTTCAGTGTAGTCACGACTTCTCACAATGGTATTTTACTAACTGTATTTTTCGAAACATCTGAAAGATCATTTCATCAGAAAAAATTGTGTGGTGCCAGTCATGTCAATATGATCTTGAGCCTATTCAAGACAAGCAGTGACATGGTGAAGCTGGAGAAGAGGAACAGCAACTGGACAACAAATGACAAACCGAAGGGCTTGTTTTAATGTATGTTGAATGGTACGAACAGAAACCTTCAGGTGGGAATTTTTGAGGACAAGTCTTTCGACCATTTCAGCTGCAGTAGCAGCTTTATTGGTCTGCATAATTGGACCAAGGTGATGAAATTGTGGGGTGCGAGAATTGGGATATTCCAGGTATAGGAAGTGATGTAACAAAAAATCTTTTTTAATTCAATTGATTATATCATATACTGTGGACTTTGGGTAATCTGTTATATAAATTATTTCTGCAAGTTTTCAGACATTATCTGCCCAAAGCTGACTTACAACCATTCTTTGCATTTTGGGTTTCAATAAAGATAACATTTATATCAATTTTTTTTTTAATAGCTATAAAAAAATTTTTTTTAAATATAAGTCATGTAAACATATTCTTACTTTAATTAAAATTTATGTTATATAGGTTGTTGTTTTCTAAAATGACATGTAACATAACTTTAAATGTGCTAGATCAAAATTCCAGATATTTATGATGCCTACTGTATGTGATCATGCAATTGATCACTGGAAAAAAATTAGGATACATGGTTGACACCTTTTGCAAATATATGATTGCTCCTGTCAATAAATAGTTGAAGTGGCCAAAAATTTAGAGTTAGGATATTTGGAATTATGGGTGTAGCATTAGGTTATTATATTATTTCGCACATATTTATTAACTATTACAAATTTGATATATTAGTTAAAATGTTCCATATAATTAAAGGAAACTGTTGTTGGTAAAATATTATATACATATGTAAGATCTCGTACTGGATGTTAAGGTACCTGTATTAACATAACATTCTTATTGTTTATTTCATTAGCATCCCTAATATTTATAATATATATACTTTAGTATTTAACTTATGTAAATTATATATTTATCTTAAATTTTGAGGTAATAAATTAATCCGCAGGGATTCAACTGCGCCATATTTTAACGCATACTTTGTGTTCAAGTTACAAATAAAAACCAGATCATGATTATTTAAAAATATTTTTACCAGATTTAGATGCAGAACCTAATGTTATTTAAGTATACATAATTAATAAAAAAATAATTATAACAATAAAGTTGTTTTTATTCCTAAATATTAGTACACTGAAAATATCAAGATAATTATAGTATCGATAGTAAATAATTTATTCGATTCTAACAAATGGCAGATATTCATCCATTTTACTATAACATTCCAATGACTACTATTAATAATTCTATAACTACGTTGTTGCAATAGCCTGTAATTTAACGACTTTTTGGAATCTGCTTAAAGCTTAAAAAACCATCAGCAGAATTCGCTTCATAATGAGTCAGACCTAAACCTTTTATCATTAGGTTAGTCATCTGTTTGAAGCGCATTCTAACTCGAGTGGCCAATTATTCAGGTCTACTCATGTGAATTATTCAAGATCTTTGTATAATCCTTGATTTTCCGATATCGTTATCCCAATGATTGATCATCAAATCACAAGTTTTAAGATAATTAACATACCTCCAATAGAACATTCTCTTTGGCTTATACACCACCAATTTTTATTAATTTCTAGCAATAGAAGAAAATAGTCATATCTGTCTTTATTATTTGACATAAATAATATCGATTTATATGCCAAGTTTTTCTGGATTTAACTCTTGTAATGAATTCTTACCCGTAAAATCTACTAGAATGATGTTCTATTCAGTTTATAATTGATAACTCATCAAATAATTTTTTTATTATCGAAGATTTGCTGAGTTTAATATAATAAGCCTCATCGCAATGCAATATATGCATATGAAGTGATATATTTCATATGATAAACAGGACAACAATTATATGATTTAGGAAGTGCTCTATCTTTTTTATCAGTATTAGTAAAGATACTAATCCTGACATATTTACTGATTAAAATATAGTTAATGATTTGTAATATAAATATATATGCGATTTAGGGATTTGGACCTATTAGACTTACTTCTTTATAGTAAGAGAATACTTGATTTAATTTTTGTGTGGATGCGAACGAATAACACATGTATGAAACGGATTATTTCAACATAGGTCAAGAAAGAAACCTCAATTGATATACTGTATAATCAAATTATAAACATCAGGTAGAGGTTCTTCAGCCCTTAAACCTCGTCAGGCTCTATCAAATCTAATGAGAGTACTGGCTGTAATACTTTGCACAGATTATATTGTATATTCAAATATGTTCGATTAACAAGGCCAATTATTTATAATATTTCGTCGCCTATTGTCACTGACCTTTTCAGGCGATACATTTGTTACTATGAAAGTTTTTTATCATCTCAAGAAATTAGGGACTGCATGTTATGAATCAATAATTAAGAATGCGATATTAATTAACTGATATTGGCTTAATATCGTTCTCGAGCTGTATTAATAAAGCAATGTCATTTTTTAATATGAAGCCCTATCGAGGTCGTGATTGGCTAAGGATTAAAATGGGTTCCTTTGCCTGTGCATCTGCAACAAGGGCATATTCTACTTAATTGCCTGGTTTTTCTTGCCAGAGTATAATTCTGGCTTGAACCCGTTTGCTCCAATTATTATCATTTCTAAGACATTTCAAATGTCTTAAACGCACAAATTTTTTATACATGTGTCCAGTACCCCAGCTATTCTTTGTATCATAATCAGTATATCCCTATCGTAAGTATCCTTTTAACTGATATGGAAAGATTGTATTTGGTGTACCCGTAACAATCACGCTTGTATTCTTTTTATCTATATTTCTGGTGTCATAAATATAGTACGTAACTGAGCGACTTTGTTATTTTCTCCAGAATTTCTTATGTGAAATCTTATTTTAATTGACAAATTAAATTAATCCGAAAAACAGATACATCATTTACAATAACTAGTAATTTTATAAAAATTCTTCAAATATACACATCAAAACTTTGTAATATTTCCGTTATTAACACGCTGATCAGTAACCATTTTCGCTGGCGGACTACGTGGCAGACGTGTCTGATCAACCGGAAGTTGGATGGCACCAGGCAAAGTTTCGAGAACGTGGTCCAATTGATCATCGCTATATT